CCCATTGGCTGAGCCGCGCCGCCGCCGCCGCGCCATTGGCTAAGACGCGCCGGCGCCGCCACGCCATTGGCTGCGACGCGCCGCCCGCGAGCAGCGCTGCGCGCTGGCGCCGCCTCACGGCCCCTCACGGGCTGATGGCGGCGGCCGCCGTGCCCCCGGGGCGGCCAAGCCGTGCTTATTTGTAATAAAACTGGTTTGCGATAAAACAGTACCGTATAGTCTAGAGAAGACCGAGGTAGCGTCTCATTAGTGCATATAAATATCTCCAAAATACGCCGGTGCCAGGCTGCGTTCAGTGGTGTCAGTGACAGGTGGAGGAGCAATGGCCATAAAATAAATCGCAAGTTCCAGCTCGACATGAGGGAAAACATCTTTCCATGAGGGTGGCAGAGCACTGGAACCGCTGTCCAGGGAGGGCTGGAGGCTCCAGGTCATTCCAAACTCCTGGACACGTTCCTGTGTCACCTGCTCCGGGTGACCCTGGCTGGACTGGATGCTCTCCAGAGGTCCCTTCCAGCCCAATTCTCTGATTTACTTACAATAAAATACAGGAGCTAATAAAATAAAATAATAATAAATCCAGGAGTTAAACACACCCTTTCTTCTTCAAGACTCCAGAGAACAGCGGGTGGTTTCCAAAAAAACCATCCCTCCACCCTCCAACAATATTTGGAAACCACTAATCCCTGAAGCCACTAAGACTAAACACTAAGAATTAACAGAAAACACACATGCACAATGTCTGGAAACAAGACAACCAAATCCTAACCACCAAGAATTAGAAGAACAGAAGTTTGAACCTGATTTACAACTAAATTAAGAAACAAAATCTCTAAACAGGTTCTCCTGGAGCTCTACAAATTAAACTTCTGGTGTAACACTACGTGATTAAAAAGTCAATAAATAATTAAACGCTAATGACAGAACTAATTTACAATTTACTTCCTACTCTTATTAAAACAATTACTTAAAGTCTCATCTTCAGCACAATCTGAATCCAGCACTGCAGTTTCACAAACGCTTCCTATTTGTGTTTTCCATTTGCTTCATCCACTTTTCCTTCCAAAAGCTTCCATCAGTTCTGCAAAATTACCACTAATCCCATGGGAAGTGTCCAACAGACACCTGAAGCAAAGCCAACGGTGTTATTCTTGTGAATATTCCCGTATTCGCAATTTCTTACAAATTCAGTGGAAGATTCCCCAAAGTTATGCTCAGTCTTATTCCCAATTTACTAATTCTGATGGAGGAGGATCTCAGCTCCTAAGACGGTCTTTAAAACGTTCATAAAACTCCCAATCCAGAAGTTAATTTTTGCAGCCTGTTCTTGAAGACCTGTGATGTTCCAGATTCTCAACTACAAGAATCATTGGTCAGCTCAAATTTTTAAAAAAAGGCTGTGATATCACAAGATGAAGAGAAAGAAGTGAACTTCACATAGATTTGTAACACAACAATTCAGAAACCAGGGGAATCACTATTTGATTTCCAGTCCTTACATTTCACAGTCTTTTTTAAGACACAGAGGTTATTAAAAATACATATTTAATGACTCAACTCAAAAGGCTCCTAAAAGATGCTATAAAAATACAATTCCCTGTAATACAGAGGAATTCTAAATCAAAGGCTGTTTTGAATATTATGAGGCAATTTATCCAAGAAACACACACCGAGGTGAGGGAGGAACACCCAGCTCTTTGAAGTTGACTGGGAAGTAATATAAATATAATAAATGTGCTGAGGGAACGGGGGGCTGAATGGAGCTGATATTATCCCACAGGGAATTCCACTGTTCAGGCCACTGGCCAGCTCTACAGGAATGACCTGCTGAAAAATGCAATGGCTAAAGAGCTGAAATGACTTGGTAAAGTCTAAGCTTTAAAAATGTCATTTTTTGAATGGCTTCAGTTGCTGCATTATTCCTTTTTTTTAACAGCATTCATTGATGATGTTGATCGTACCCCACAACTCCACGTTTCCAAGGGCATGGGAGATTTTGAGAGAGATGTAAACAAAGAACACGACTCATCCAAAACTTTTGATGCCCAACAAGTCACTGAGGATATGACCCAGACCAAAATATCTTCAGGTTGGAGGTGGGGGAAAGAGAAGAGCTCAGAAGTCAGAATACTTTGAGTATCCACAGTCCTCCAAAAATACTTGGCTTCCTCCAAATACTCTGCTGCTATTAGAGATTATTCACGTCTTCTTTATTTTTAATTAGAGCACAAAGGAAATCTCTCTGAGACGTGTATCCATCTATCCCAAAATATCCATTATTTAGTCAGTCCTGAGCTACCCAAATGTGGGAACACTGTTTTTTTTTTTTAATTTTCCGAGGGCGTGAATGCAGAACCAGAGAAAATTTTATTTCCAGCCCGATCTAATGATTCCTCAATCAAATGACAGCACTTGTGTGGTTCTTTCAGGAGCTGGAGCAATGAACTATTTGCATAAACACACTGAAGAGCTGCTGGAATAAATAAATAAATGCGCAGATCCAGATTGCCGAGGCGAGGGAACGCCTCGGCACCGCACTGCGCCAAGCCGGGATGGGAGTCAGCAACTTCTCCCTTCTCCCCACTCCAACTATTCCCACTTCCACCTGGGATCCCACCGAGGGCAGCAGCAGCACTGCCTCTCTTCCTGCAGCTCTGGGGGAGCCCACAGCAAAATTGATTTAAGGAATATTAAACCTGAAGCGGCAAAACTCCAAGGCAGCCAAGTTCTTGACGGCCTCTCCCTGCTCTCACGTGGTCCTGGATTCCTGACATTACTCAGGGATAAATGAGGCAAAACCCCCCCAGAAAGCAAGGGAACATTAGCAAGGAGCATTAGTGGTTGCATTAAGAGCAGGCTTGGATGTGGATCCTCTCCTTCCAGCACACAGAGGGCTCCAAAACCTGCAGTCTCCATCAGCATCCTCCCCATGAAACACAAACTTTGGGTTTCATCTTGCCCCGCCGGGATTCCAGGGCCTGCTGAGGAAAATTGCTCCCCCCTATGGAAAGCTGCTCTTGTTGCCATCAGCAGAAGAGCCCAGGGATGGATTTCGGTGATGGAAAAGGAAAGGACCATCAGCAGTCTCCAGCAATCCACCTTGCCTCCATCCGTGGGAAGGAGGCCAGTTCCTCACTCTCCTAAATTACTTGGCACGGCCCCACTCCTTGCCCCTTCTCCCTCTAAAGCAATTTCCCTGCCTCTCTCCCTCCTCCTCTGTTTTATAATAGAGATTAGATAAGAACCTGGTGCAGTGACAGCAGCTTCTGCCCCGGGTGGAGGCACAGCCAGGAGAACCTCCTGAGATCCCCTCTAACCTTGTTTTCCAGCAGAATGGGATTTGTGGGACTTGGAAGTCCTTGAAGCCACCAGAGGAATAGGGATTTCTTTCTTTCTCTTCCAAAAGATTGTGCTGTTTGGGATATATCCTGGCACAGGGGATTCGGTGAATTTTAGGGTTTTATTCAAACAGACTGTGTGGACGGCGTGCTTTAATCCTCGGAATTTCAAGTAATAAATTAGTCTGGTCTAATTTGACAGTTCTTCTGGAGGAAGCGAGGTGCCACCTATCCTAAAACACATTTATCTGACACTGTTATGTAAAGGCTGCTATAATTAAAGAGTGTGAAGACTCGGTTGTCACTTCCTCTTGGTTGGAAGCACCTCCAGTGAGAGGTAACTGGGCTACATTTGTAGGTACCCTCTATATTTAACGAGCTGTGAAACGCCTTTCCACGGGCACTGTGGAGACCTGCAGGAAGCCAAGGCCTTCCTGAGGGTTTTCCACAGGCAAGAGTGGATGATCCCAGCTCCTGAGGCAGGCAGGGTGTGCTCCAAGGGTTCAACAGCTCCGGCCAGCTCCAGCTGAGGCTTCCACTGGCACACGGGATCGAGCAGAACAAATCCCAAACGGCCTCGAGAACAGCCCCGTGTGAGCACAGGGATCCCTCTGGAAGATGGGGAGCTTGGAATGAAGGGTCTGCAGGATCCATGGGCAGTCGTGGGGATGTCCATGGACACTGACCCCCCCAGCAGCTCCCAGTGTCCACCAGGCTGCTGAGAGGGTCCAAACCATCGAGTCACCCCCCAGGCAGCGCCCCAAAAAAAAGCCAGAGTGGATCTGTGGCTGGAATTGTGCCAGATTTCCTTGCTGGAAGGGAGATGGGTGGGTTCAGTTTTTAGGGAAGATCCACGTTTTTATCTGCCCTGCCAAAAACCATCTGGGCCAAAGGATTAAGCACTTGTTTTATTCCTTATTTTAAGCTCCTCTGCTTTCCTTATGAATGCTAATCAATCTCCTGAGCTGCCATAAGTGCTGATGCCGAGTTTCTGTGCCACACTTCAACTGTTGGGATGATGGGAAACGCTCTCCGAAAGCCAACTACAAACTTTCTGGGAAGCTGCTGCTGTTTTACCCAAGCAGGGAAAGGCACCAGTGCATCCTGGAAACCCCATCAACACTGGAGCACAGCCACCAGTCATCCCCCTGGGACTGGGAACAGCAAAGCTGCAGGGAGAAGGGGCACTGGAAGTGTGCTGGGAATGCCAGGACATCCCATGACTGAAGATCCAACCTCTGCAGAGCAAGGAACTGAAAGATTTTCCAGCCTCAGAACAGACAAACAGCCCAGAAAGCTCCTGGTCGGTGTTAATTTCCCAGGTGCATTTAAATATTTGCAGTTTTATCAGCACACACTCGTGAAAAGGTTGCTTGAAATGTATTTTTGATAAATTACGATTATCATGTAATAGTTCTTTGGAGAAAACAAAGCCTCGAGTGAGCAAAAAGACAACCCTGCAAGCTAAAATGAAATTCCAGCTTCTGTAAAACACAGGATCTCATGGAGATTTTTTTTTTCTTTAGCTAAACTGGTAAAACTACACATTTTATTTTGTTTTTTGGCTCAAGGAGTAGGGCAAAGGGTGTCTTTAAAAGAGTCAGACACAGAGCTTTTAAATCCCAGTGCTAA